GGGGGGGTTCCGCTAGCAAATCTTCAAATACAAAATTCAATACGGGTACCAACATTCGACAAATGAAACTAGTCCTGCGACTCGCTTGTTTACTGGTACATTTACGGGGGAGTTCTTGGTAGAGCATTGGTCTTTCAGAAGATAGTATAGTACACGTGTGCGCGTGGTATATACTCCAATAATACATATAATTAACCAATGAAAAGTGTCGTTACAACGTGGTAAACTTGGCGGTACAAAAAATCATATAACAAAACAGTAGTCAATTATATCAATCAAATGTGTTGTACTTATTTTCGTGGTTCCATTCCATAGCAACCACGAAAACCACGAATATTTCATGCTAAACAGTTTATCAGACATTATTTTGTATGTGCTTGGATCTCCGTCCTTATACATAGCATTTGTTACGAGTACCCTATGATGTAACATTCACTAATTTATTAAGATGTTGATTTAATCGTATATGTATACAAGTTATTGTATAACTGTTCACGATTATCCTTCATCGTTTGTGTTATGAATAAAATATGTGTAAATCGAAAATAATGGCTTGTTTCTTACATTAACACACTGTTTACGTACCTTTTATAGTGCACTCAAATAGCACATCAGCGAATTTTTAACGGATTAGCGCGTTCGTCAAAAGGCGCAATGATAATTTGTGCGATAGATGATCATACACAAAAACAATATATATTAGTGCTGTCAATAAAGTAACAAAAAGCGTTCGAGTACGACTACCACTACCGCTAAAACATGTACGTTTAGATATTTCCTTTTTTTGACATAAGACCATATTAGAACAACTCTATACTGCTTTTCAGAAATGATTTATCAAAGCTGAGTTCGTGCCGGAAGAAAGATTCCAACTTTTAGTAATAGTTTCTGGCAGTGGTACATCGATCATTTACTTCATGATAATGATTGTCGTGACATTATTTAAGCATTTACTTTAATGATTTGTTTACGTTATTGAGTAATAACACACAAAAAGGGGTGTACTCTTTTTATAAACCCACTTCGTGGTTTATTCAGAGTACATATTTACTAAAACAAGGAGTGTACTCTTTTCATAAACCGCTTCGCGGTTTCTACTGAGTACACTCCTTTTTTATGTTATGGCTCAATAACGTAAAACTTCGTTCAAGTTTATACTTATAATTCAATTATAATATTTATATTCAGCTATTCTAGCACTGCCCAACCACGTACTCAAGCGGAGTAAAGGGTCTTGCTCAAAGATTCAACACAGAGCAGTGACATGACTCGAACCTGAAACCCTTCGGTTACACGCCCGGCGTCCTACCACTAGACTACCGTGCCTCTTGAAAAGCGTGAGAGCTATACATTGCATCTACAAGGCTAAGGCCGACCTCGGGGACTGAAAGTTCACCAGTAAAGTCAACGACCTTGTTCCTTTATCTAAAACTATCTTAAAGCAGAATGCCAAGCAAAGCAAACACTTCGGAACGACATGGTCACTTCGTCCATTCAGGTAAATACATCGTTTTTAAAGGTGTTTCGAGATTTAGACATACATACGTACGGCAAAGGAGACATTTGTCTATAAAACACTTTCTTTAGTCCAGATTAAAGAATATGGATTCATTTTAGTACATGTATAAATAATATGGTAAAATTAAAAGAAAAACTGGATTTGACAATTTCATCGAACTATAGATTTTCACTACCATATAAGACAGAATCAAGATTTATTTTAACATTTAATCTGTGAAGTTTTCTCAACAATATATTTCTGTCGTTCGCATAGGATGGAAATTAAACGTAAAATGAAATATATTTTCAATTACGTGATTGCATTGACTGCCCCAATAGCCAGTCAAATTAACACTTATAAGATTAGGCCTATAAGACTAAACAGACAGCGTGGTTTCGTAAGAACAACAGAGCATATTTGTCGCCAGTGGAATAGAGCGAATGCGGGTTTTATCTGGCACGCGTAAACAAACCTGGGCTAAAAGGCATATCTTGATTTTTATCAAGGTATTGGTACATTATTATTATAGATGGGAGATCAACGTAACACGTACACAGCTGATTGCACATTTCAAAGTATGCCAAAAAGACGAGTTTGTAAA